GAAATCAAAGAACTATTTTTCCGGTGCCCGCCCGCCCGTAAATCGCATTCTCAGATAATCGCCTGCCCTCGGCGATTATCTGAGAATATGATAACCATTTTCAAAAATGCCCATTACTTTTATCTTATCGATTTTTTTGCAAAGTTTAAGCTACGGGGCTGGAAGTTGGCACAGGAGGGTAATCGAGCATGCTGATTAAATATGATAACCATTTTCAAAAATACCCATTACTTTTATCATTTTATCGATTTTTGCGCAAATTTTGAACTAAGGGGCTGAGAGTTGGCACAGGGGGGTAATGGAGCATGCTGATTACATATATGATAACCATTTTCAAAAATACGCATTACTTTTATCGATTTTATCGATTTTTTTGTAAAGTTTGACCTGGGGCTGGAAGTTTGCACAGGGGGGTAATCGAGTATGCTGGTTACGAATACATTATTAGTTTTTAGAATTATCAGTTACTTTTATCATTTTATCTATTTTTTTACAAATTTTGAACTAAGGGGCTGGGTTTTGGCACAGGGAGGTAATCGAGCATGTGATTACATATATGATAACCATTTTCAAAAATGCCCATTACTTTTATCATTTTATCAATTTTTTTTTGCAAAGTTCGAGCTACGGCGCTGAGAGTTGGCACATGGGAGCAAGCGAGCATGCCGATTACGAATATGATAACCAATTCAGAAAATACCCATTACTTCTATTGGTTTAATTAATTTTTTTTGCAATGTTCGAACCACGGCGTTAGGGGTTGGTACAGGCTGGTAATTGAGCATGCTGCTCACGAACAGTTCTTATTTTACAAGTTATCAATTACCTTCACTTGCTTTATCTATTTTGCAAAGTTTAAGCCATGGAACTGGGATTTGGCACATGGGAAAAGCGAGCATGCCGATTACGATTGTAATAAGTGTTCTTGAAAGTACCTATTATTTCTGTAGATTTTTCTATTCTTTGTAAAGTTAGAGCTACACGGCTGGTTCTTGGCACAAAGTTGTATGTGAGCACGCTCACTGCGAAGAAGTAACCGTTTTTGAAAATACCCATTACTTAAAGCTGAAGCTACGAGGCTGAGATGGCACCGGTCCGGGGGTAAGTGAGCATGCTGAGAATTCTATAATCACACTCGGAATTGACGAAGAGTAAATTTACCTAAAGTTGTCATAGATCCTCTTTGGCCCGCCATTACCTTCTAAATTCCTACTTCTGCCGCTAAAATCAGAAAAGCACAAAGAGCCTGGTCTTGAGGGAAGTAAAGGCTTATAAACTGAGGCGGCAAGACATTTCCGTTAAGAATTTCTACGAGTCAATATCTAATTATACAGCAATTTCCATGAAATTTACTTCTGTCGCTTCCACTTTGCAAAAACCATACTTCTGCTTCTGAAAGCAGAAAAGTGGTCTCTGGGGATGAACAGATCTATGAGCTTCATCCGATAGGACATTTTCACTGAAACTTTTGGCACCCAAACTTCGCAAAAACCACAAACTCAAAAACCACACTTCTGGTCCTAGAAGCAGAAAAGACAGGGAGCTTGGTCTCGAGGGAAGAAAGAATTATGGCCTCAGGCAGCAAGATATTTTCGCCAGGAGTTTCTGGGTGTTAATGATTATATCGAACTTGCTTGAAATTTACTTCTGGCCCTTTTGGTCTCGGAGGGAAGACTCATAAGCTCAGCCAGCAAGATACTTTCGCTGAAAATTTCTGGGTGTCAGTCTTTATTCATACAGAAACTTGCTTAAAATTTACTTCTGGCCCTTCTACTTTGCAAAAACCATATTTCTGCCTCTAAAAGTAAAAAAGCACAAAGTGCTCTCGAGGGAGGGGCAGACCCATGAGCTTCATCCGACAAGACATTTTCGCTAAGATGTTTAACCCCTAGACTTCGCAAAAACCAGTACTTCTGCCCTGAAAGCAGAAAAGCACAGGGTGCTTGGTCTTGAGGGAAGAAAGAATCATGGCTTGAGGCAGCACGTTATTTTCGCCAAAAGTTTCTGGGTGTCAATGATTATACAAAAACTTGCTTAAGATTTACTTCTGGACATTCTACTTTGCAAAAACCACACTTCTTCCTCTAAAAGCGAAACAGCACAGATAGCTTGGTTTCGAGGAAAAGACAAAACCATCAGCTTCATGCAACAAACATCTTCGCCAAGGGGTTTGACCCGTAGACTTCGCAAAAACCAGTACTTCTGCCCCTAAAAGCAGAAAAGCACAGGGAATTCAGTCTCTAGGGAAGGACAGCCCATGAGTTTCATCCGACAGGACATTTTCGCTAAGACGTTGGACTCCAAAACTTCGCAAAAACCAGAAAACTCAAAAACCACACTTCTGGCCCTAAAAGCAAAAAAGCACAAGGAGCTTGGTCTTGAGGGAAGAAAGAATTATGGCCTCAGGCAGCAAGAAATTTTCGCTGAGAATTTCTGGGTGTCGATGTTTTATTATACAGAAACTTGTTTGAAATTCGTGGCCATTCTACTGTGCAAAGCCCATACTTCTACCCCTAAAAGCAAAACAGCACAGATAGCTTGGTCTCGAGGGGAAGAGACTCATGAGCTTAGCCAGCAAGATACTTTCGCTGAGAATTTCTGGGTGTCGATGTTTATTCTACAGAAACTTGTTTGAAATTCACTTGTGGCCATTCTACTCTGCAAAAACCAGACTTCTGCCCTGAAAGCAGAAAAGCACAGGGTGCTTGGTCTTGAGGGAAGAAAGAATCATGGCTTCAGGCAGCACGATATTTTCGCCAGAAGTTTCTGGGTGTCAATGTTTATTCCACAGAAACTTGTTTGAAATTCACTTGTGGCCATTCTACTCTGCAGAAATCAGACTTCTGCCTCTGAAGGCAGAAAAGTGGTTCCGAGGGAATGACAGACCCATGAGCGTCTTGCGACAGGAAATTATCTTCTCTAAAAATTTTGGCCTTTCGAACTTCGCTAAAACCACACTTTTGTCCCTAGAAGAAAAAAAACAGGGAGCTTGGTCTCGAGGAAAGAAAAGACTCAGGGTTCAGACAGCAAGATATTCGCGCTAAAAATTTTTAGGTGTCAATATTTAATTATAAAGAAACTTGCTAGAAAAATTACGGCCCCTTCTTCTCAATCATACTTCTGCCCCTAAAAGCGGAAGCATAAGGAGCTTGGTTTCGAGGGAAGGAAAGACCTAGGGTTTTATGCGACAGGACAGTTTCGGTAAGATTGTCCTTCAAAAGAAGGCGTTGGGCCAGCTTTTGTCTGCTCTAAGAAATGAGTCCGTTCACTGACAAGACATCATCGAAGAAAATACTGCTTTGCTTTTACCTACATATTCGAGTTTTCGGCTGCTGGAAGACATAACTTGACGCTTCCTTTACATGGTACTTTCCTGGAAATCAATCTGAGTTTTGGGATGAATCGGCTGTTCTAAACAGGTGCTTGGAGGTAGCTTCCTTGTTTAAGAGCTGTGGTATCTGGGCGAAGGTATCTGCAAGAAGAATAGCAGAGATGCTTTGCGGGTAGTCACTAGTACTAGCTCCTTTCCTAAGAGCATAGTGTTTTGTTTCTACTACTCACAACACGCGAAAGGTCGCTGGAAAGATGGAAATTCTCTTTCTTGGGATTCTTAGTTGATTAATGGCAGAAATCAATGTTTCTGCCCCCCACCCACCTACTAGCGACCCTACGGGTCGCTAGTCTTATATATAAAGCTGAATGTCTGTTTGTCTATACGTCTGTCTGTCTGTATGTCTGTCTCTACGAATGTTCGGAATAGAAAATTCCATTTCTGAACCGATCCGGGACAAACTTGGCACACATACACTTCAGGGCCGAGCGGATGTCATAGGCTACTTTTCGTCATCGATCGATATCGATTTTTATCGATTATTTTGCAGAGTTCACCTACGGGGCTGAGAGTTGGCACAGGGGGGTAATCGAGCATGGGGATTCCGAATACAATATTGGTTTTCAGGATTATCGATTACTTTTATCGATTTTATCGATTTCTTTGTAAAGTTTGACCTGCGGGGCTGGGAGTTTGCACAGGGGGGGTAATCGAGCATGCTGATTACGAATACAATATTAGTTTCTGGATTCATCCATTACTTTTATCGATTTTATCGATTTTTTGCAAAGTTTAACCTAGAGGGCTGGGAGTTGGCACAGGGGGTAGGTGAGCATGCTGAGAAAACGGGGATAGAGGATTTGCATGGAGAAGTGGCACAGGGAAGGATTCTGCACGGATAAGGATGGAACTTTTCATATTTTTCACTAAACCGGGCGGAGCCGGGTAAGCAAGCTAGTCAGATATATAAAGCCTCAGAATATGAAGTTTGAGCTGCGATCCGCTCCCCCGTGGAGATCTAAATGCAACATGCATCATGCAACATTCCAGCCGGAGAGGGGATCGCAGCTCGAAACAGACTGTCTGTCCCATAAGCACACTTCCGCCGTTTTAGCGTTCTATTCTCTCTCTCAGTCATTATGGGAAAGACATGGCTGTGCCTGGCGTGGCTGCGGTAAACATTCAGAAAGCAACCTTGAGAGGCGTGGCACTTCCCTTCATAAAGAATAATGTCCGCCCTTCCCCCTCTCCATCCGTACAAAAATGTAGACCGCTTTTCAAGCGCAAAACTGAGGATTCACGGTGCTCCAGCATTAGGGAGACATACAAAAAAGAGAATGCGTTATCGGCACCTGTGAAAGTACTTAATTACATCAACATGAACTGTCGTCCGCATTTTCCGCTCTTCTCTTCCCATCATCTTTGTAGATTAGGAATTGACATGTGTTCTCCGCTTTTTTTACTGATAGGTAGAAGAAACAAGCAAGATGGCACTCCAAAAAAATAAGCTTTTCTGTCAACATCTAGGGCGGATTCGGGAACATTATAGCAATCCTTTGTTATCCCGTAATATCATGCTAGAAATACAGTTGTTGCTTATGAAGTTCAGTTGATGTGTTAAGTTTATCTTGTGGTATAAATGACTCGTCGAGCCAATTAGAACGTTTAGTTTTACTCGGATGCTGAAGCTGGGACGGATTTTTACGAAAAGTTCAGCATAAGGCGTAATATCCAGGTGATATTCCAATGTCTATGGAACGAAACTTATTACAGATCCGTCATGATTCAATTAGCGAGGTGAGCGCTAGAGATCATTCAATTTACGCCTATGATTGGTTTTTGTTTCCAGGGCTTGTGGACCTGAATTTATCCGTTTCATAAATATGGTTATCAATGATGCAACTTTTCTACTGGATGAAAGCTTGGCCGCTTTGAAAAAGATTCACGACGTTGAGTTGCTGATGTCAAATAAAGAAGAGTGGGCAGCGCTTGGACGAGAAGAGCAACAGCAAAAGGAAGGGATTTTGGAAGACGCTAAGAGACAAGTTCGTTGGTGATTTTGTGGTATCTATCACTCATGCATCGCTCTTCCCAGGTGCGGTCATGGCTAATCTATGCAAAAGATACACTGGAGCTACTGGGATATCTTACACGTGATGCACCACAACCTTTTGCTCAAGATGTTCTAGGTGATAGGTTGGCATCAATGCTCAATTACAATATCAAGCAACTTTGTGGAAGAAAGTGCATGGAACTGAAGGTACGCTTTGGTTTTCCTAACTGAGTGGTGACTGATGTCATATAATGGCACTCTCTGGAAGAGTAAAGCGACTGACTCCGGAGAGTTTCGGCTTGCAATCAGTTGCCTCCTTTATATCAGTGTGTGAGATCAGATCGTGATTTCATAGCAGCGAGAGGAATTAGGATTGGTGTTTTCTTTAGGCTGGGTTCATACCGATCCGTAAGTTCCGGAACAGTTTCAGCACAGCGCTTGAATTGTGCGCTGTGCTGGAAGTGTTTCAGAACTTAGGATCAGTATGAATCCAGACTTAGTCTTCACTATCTCAGGCAGGCGCGGTAAAGACGTTGGGTTAAGCTGGACTTTGCTTTGGGGCTAACAAGGGAGGTCGGATCAGTCGAAGTGGTCTTTCCAAATGGGTCGTATACTGTTTTGAAGAGCGTTAAACGCTGCTTTCGAATCTGTCTTCGTTATCTGCCGAGCGCTTCTGGACGCCGAGTTATGAGCGTTCTTTGGGTTGAAAAATTGAATGCTCAATAGAGCAAAATTCGTCAGAATTGCTTAAATGGTCCAATTCATCAGAGCACTCCATTTCAAAGGATACCTTCTATCCAAAACACTCATACTACATGTTGCTCTATTTAGGCGCTGAAAAGTACGCAATAGTTGATTTTACTTGAATCCTGCGTTCAATTTTCGCTCAAAAAACATTTATAACTCGGCATGCAGAGGCGCTCGGCAGATAATAAAATCAGATTTGGAATCAGCGTTTAACGCTCTTCAAAATAATCCTACTATAATAACGCGCTAAGGCCGTCTGTTTTTTTGTGTGTGTGTCTGTCTGTAAATCTGTCGTCACGAAATTCATAGAGGAAGCTGCAACTAACAAGAACCGGGTGGGGGAACGAAAGCCGCCAGGTCCAGCCGCCTCCGCGGACTGCTGGTCCTGGAACGACATGCAACAACGCTGCGAAAGGACCAGCTGGCCGCGAAAGGCGGCTGGACCTGGCGGCTTTCGTTCCCCCACCCACAAGAACCGTGTCGAGTCGAAGTGGCCTTTCCAGATGAGACCCACACTGCTTTGAAGGGCATTAATCGGTGATTCCAAATCTGCTTTTCAAATCTGCCAAGCGCCTCTGGACGCCGAGTTATGCTCGTTTTTCAGGTCAAAAAATTGAGCGCAAACTGAAGCAAAATTGCCCAAATTTGCTCAAATGGTCCAGTGTCAAGTATTAGAGCTGTTTATGCAATGGATACATTTTATTTAATATGCTAATACTTAACATTGCTTTATCTGAGCGCTGGAAAGATTGTAACAATCAATTTTACCTAAATTCTGCATTCATTTTTCGTCCCGAAGAACGGTCATAACTCGGCGTCCAGAGGCGCTTGGCAGATTTGGAAGGCAGATTTGGAATCACTGTGCAATACTCTTCAAAGCAGTGTGGGTCTCATCTGGAAAGGCCACTTCGACTCGACACGGTTCCCTTGTAAGCTATCGGGCTGCAATTTTGCACAACATACCGTGCCAGCGTGTAGGCTCACCATGCACAAGGACGAACCGGTTCGATAAGCGGGTCCCTCAAAATTTGCGCGTCAAACGGGTCCACGCGCCTTTTGGCACGCAAAACTGGGTCGCTAATTCGACTTTTTGCAAAGTTATGATTTGCCTGACAAGTAACTCTGCGCGCCATGAATTCTAGCCCAAAAAGTGCTAAAAAAGTTTGCTTTTTTGTGAAAACAGCGCCAAAATGTGATGAAGCGTAGATGGTCGATTTGACAAGGTTTAACTTGAAAAAACTGAAGAGGTTTTTGCACTGAAATGTAGCCCAAGGTGACTAATATCCTTATGACGATTATCAAACTATTACGTGGAGATGCTTCATGAATGAACAGTTGTTTACGATTCATTTGTGATGCTCAGCATCGCGTGGTGAGTTTCAAAGTCGTTCTCATGCGAACATGAGAAAGGCATACAGATAGGGAGCCAGTGCGAACCTCCGCGAAGCGGAGGTGACGCACTGGTTTATTATAACTGGTATATATATGAATCATTCGGAAAGGTCACTTCGACTAATTAGACTTCCCTTGTAAGGCACACGCCATACTTGATCCACTTCTTCCATTTCGCTATAGGTCATATCAGTGAACTGATCAATAGTGAGTGGATCATGTGGAGCAAGTGCTCGACCAATAGCGAAGTGGATCAAGTGGATCAAGTATGGCACGTGCGAGGTGGCGTTTCCCCAAGAAATGTAAATTGTTTCATAGAGCATGCAACCTGATTCCGAATCTGCTTTCGGTATTTGCAAAGCAATTTTGGGATGGGAGTTATAGGAGTTTTTTGGGGCAAAAATTTAAGGTTCTAGTTTAAGTAGAAACGAGCGTTGAGGTCTTCCGGCAGTTAAATGGAGTAACGACTAGCTCAAATATATTAGAATAAAGATATTAACTGCATGAAGCGCCCTGACGAAGCTCACAGACTTCAGTTCTGAAAGATTTTATTGTAGCTGCATTTCGAAATTTTTGCGTAAAACTTTCCGTAACTCCTCTCTTAAAGGCACCGTCCACCCAAAATGGAGGTTGGCGAGATTATGATGGCATACTAGTGTGGGCCCTCATACTAGACAAACCTCCAAGCTTCGCCGCAAAAGACTGCTTCTGAAGCGAGAAATCCGCTCCGGAAGTAACAAAGTGGGCGGGGCGCCCCCGGCGGTCCACCAAACTCAAATTCAATGTTTTTGTCGCCTTCAGGCTTTATGAAAGCCCTGATTCCGAATATGGAGTCGAAAATTCGCGAAACCCCCAAAAATCCCTGTTTCGAGAACCCTCTGCAACAAGTGCAGGCGGGATAAAGCATGCAAGTGGGCGGGGGGACCGGGGGCGCCCCGCCCACTTTTGTTACTTCCGGAGCGGATTTCTCGCTTCAGAAGCAGTCTTTTGCGGCGAAACTTGGGGGTTTGTCTAGTATGGGGGCCCACACTAGTATGCCATCATAATCTCGCCAACCTCCATTTTGGGTGGACGGTGCCTTTAAAGGCAGCGTCCAGGCAGATCTGGACCTATGGGGCTTTTACGTGGAAAGTACTTTTGGGGCCCTAACTAAGGCACTGCCCAAGCGGCAGCTCAGGTAGTGCTGTAATGGCTGAGATACTCCCCTCGAAACTGGACCCCGCGATCGTGTTTCGCATGGATTTATGGCGCAAAGCGTGGATCCTGGCGCGAAACTGCCAAGAATCCATGCGAATACGTTCGCGGGGGCCAGTTTCGAGGGGAATATCTCAGCCATTACAGCACTACCTGAGCTGCCGCTTGGGCAGTGCCTTAGTTAGGGCCCCAAAAGTACTTTCCACGTAAAAGCCCCATAGGTCCAGATCTGCCTGGACGCTGCCTTTAAAGGCAGCGTCCAGGCAGATTCTCGACTTCTGCATTTTTATGTTATCCAGGCCTTTCCATGGCGCTGGTTCCGAATATGGAACTCAAAAAGCGTGGATTTCTCAGAAAACCACCTTTTGGGGCTATTTTGGGAAAACCCGGACGAGTGCTTCTGATGTTATCCTTGTCGAAAGCAAGTATTAACAGGTGAACCCTGTGAGTTCGACTGTGTTGGTCATGTGAAAACACATCAAGGCTGAGGAGATTTCATTCATAAGGGGTTGGCCGTCCGAAGGAAGTGGGCGTGGTCGTCGAGCTCGGATCTGACTGGACGCTGCCTTTAAAAGCGCTTTGCAGATACCGAAAGCAGATTCGGAATCACAGTTCCATGCTCTATAAGACAGTATAGATTTCCTGTGGAAATGCCGCTTCGGGCAAATATCTTTCCCTTGTCAGTGACAAGCTCCAACGTAATGTTTATCGAAAGCGCGAAGTTTTGTTGTAATGCTATAGAATAATAGCTTGTTTACAACGAACAGTTGTGTGTCGTAGCGACAAAAATAATAGTGGTTGGGACTCATTTTGTTTGAATTACGTACTGCGCCCACAGAAGGCACTTATGGAACTGACAATCCATACCTCTTCTCCAATGGCCGTATTCATCCCCGAACTCTGAGGGTAAACCACCTTACACTTGAGGGTGAGTTCTACCTTAGGAAGCATAAAACCCGTATTCACGAAGCACAGGGTAGGCTGAACCTCAAGTATGCCTTTCAGGGTAAATCTTACCACGGAAAGAGATCAATCCGTATTCATTAACGACTCTGACGGTAAGGGTGCCTTCATACCGCGCCGGCAGCCGCAGCTAGCAGCCCGTAGCAGCCGCCAGCAGCCTGTAGCAGCCTGTAGCCGCCGCTGGCCGCTTTCGTTAAGCAACCTTATCAATTTTACGACTTTGATTGCTCCTGTCTACACTTTTCAGCGTCTATGCTTTTCTTTTGTTGCCGCCAGTACGCAGTTTGACCACATAACATATATGTGTCCATTGTTGTCATTACCTTCTCGCCGTAGGGTCATCCTGTTGAACCATAGTTCGCAGAAGATTCTTTCCGGTGTAATTCGCTTTGACTTTGGAAGCGTCCGGTTCCTGCAGATGTGCAGTTTGTTTTTTGAGTATGCTTTTGCTTCAATTTTTTCTTGGCTATCGGTGCATATCTAACTTGCATTCTACTATTTCGCAAGTTCGCCGGGATTCATTTGCGGGTTGAGTTCTTCTGGCTTTGATAATCGCTCACGTCTTTTCAAATAAGACAGATTGCAAAAGAATTTGAGCGCGATAGGATACAATGTGCGGAACAGAACAATGAACACAAATGTATTGTGGGGGAGTTGAACTGCATATTAGCGGTAATAAGAAGAAATAAGCGTAGAAGATGAAAAGCGTAGCCAGGAGCACTTAAAGTAGTAAGATTTTGACGATTTTGTTCCTATAATAAAGGAGGCCAGCGGCGGTTATGGGCTGCTACGGGCTGCTGCGGGCTGCTACGCGCTGCTAGCGGCGGCTGCCGGCGCGGTATGAAGGCACCCTAAGACTTACATCCAGAGAGCGATTAACCCGTATTCACGAACGTGGCTCATCAGGATAAAATCAACTTTAGCACAGAGCAAGGTCAATTGTACCCTGACTCTTCGTACAAAGATAAAGTCGACGATATTGTTTTGACAACAAGCACATATCTAATCACTATTGTCTCAAATTTCCAAGTTCTCTTTTATTTCGTCTATTCATATTACAAAAATATGATAGGATTTTTTTTAGTATCTTGTTGGTCAACTCCAAGTTTGTCTAGTTGAGCTACGATAGTTTGATTATGTGTCAAATCGTTTACTAAACGATTATTCGTGTATAGTGGACTGAAATTTGAATGAGGGAGTTCCATATTACAAAAATTTCTCCTATTGAGCTTGATGTTCGTCATATTAAAGGCAGCGTCCAGGCAGATCTGGACCTATGGGGTTATACGAAAGTACTTTTAGGGTCCTAACTAAGGCACTGCTCAAGCGGCAGCGCATGTAGTGCTCTAACGGCTGAGATATTCCCCTTGAAACTGGACCCCGCGATCATATTCGCATGGATTCATGGCAATTTCGCGCCAGGATCCACGCTTTACGCCATGAATCGTGATCGTGGGGTCCAGTTTCGAGGCGGATATCTCAGCCGTTAGAACACTACCTGAGCTGCCGGTTGGACAGTGGCTTAGTTAGGGCCCTAAAATTACTATACACGTGAGATCCCCATGTGCCCAGGCGTGCCTGGACGCTGCCTTTAAAGACCTTAGGCTTGGATATGGCCTTGGACATGTACTTTATTCAAAAGTAAATCCTTAACTTTAACAATTTGGCCGGATCTAATACCGAATGATTACATCAAACGAAAACATGAAAAGAGGCCACAGGAAGTTTGACATAGTAGTAACCATAAATATGTGTTTGTTGTCATCAAAACAATATCGATGAGACTGAGTAGTGCATCGAGAGATCACTCGACGTTTGTATGAATGTCAGAGTGAATCTAATGTTGCTCTATTCTAGAGTTAAATTTACCCTGTTGAGCCATGTTCGTGAATACGGGTTAATCGCTCTCTGGGGTTATGTTCACTCGTAAGTGTAGGATTTACCCCAAGGTTCGTTGGGTAATCGCTTTCCGGGGTAAACCTTACCCTACTCTTAGAGGCAGTGTCCAAGCAAAAAGTCGATTTCGAGATTATGTGCTTACCTGGGCCTATTCGCTATGCTGAATCAAAATCACCACTAGAGAGCGCGAAAACGGCGAAAAAAGGCTCTAACGAAGGAGGGAAATTGCAGGTGGGCGGGACTGTTCACACAGTGGCGTCACTTTCCCAGCTTCAGGAGCGATCTTCTCGCTCGCGCTAGTCGCCCTAACATCACCACCAGCCAACTGTGAAACGCATGACATAAAATCGGAATCGAGAAGCGCTCGCAAAGCCTGGGAGAGTGACGTCACGGTGTGAACGGCCCTACCCACCTGAATTTTCCCTCCTGCGTTAGGACCTTTTTTGGCGTTTTCGCGCTCTCCATTGTGGTTTATCGGATTCAGCATGACGAATAGGCCCTGGTAAGCACAAAATCTCGAAATCGACTTTTTGCTTGGACACTGCTTTTAAAGGCAGTGTCCGGGCAAGATGGGGGTTTTGAGATTTCTCTGCCATGTGAGACTGGCCCCCCTGAGACACAACATCGCGCAACTGCGAGCATAAAACGTTCGACCTAAAGCAAGAAAAACGACTGCAAATTGGGGAAACTTACGCCTCGGGGCGGGGTCCTCCGAGTTGTTTGAATTCAGACGGCAGAGTACGTATGCCGCCACAGTTAAAAACCGTGCGCTCTTTGCAACCTCTGCGTCTTAGCCTGGCGGGGATCCCCAAATTTCGAAATGTGAGGACTTGGAAAATGCATTTTCTCGCCGTTTTCGCGCCTTCTGATGTGGATTTTCGGATTCAGCGTTGCGGATAACCCCAGATAAGTTGATTTTTTAGAAGTCGAGTTTCTGCCCGGACACTGCCTTTAAGGGTTCGTTGATGAATACGGCCAATGAACCGTAAGAGTAAAAGGACACTGATTAGTAAAATCTACCCTTGAGGATAAGGGTTACCCTTAGGGTTTGTTGATGAATACGGCCACAGATAACCAGTGTCCTTGGTTCATGCTTCATTTCCAGCATTGTTCGTAAATGATTATCTTCAGGTTCGAGACGCTGCGGAGCGCTTCCAGTGGGAACCTCGCAAGCTTGTGGGACAAGTGGTAGACGTCTATCTCAATTTAGCAGCTTTTTCGGACACTTTTGCCGAGTTCATCGCCCATGATGAAGTGCGTGTAATTTTTATCATTACGCTTTCATGATCATGATGCGTCGAGTTGATTGGTGTATGCGAAGAGGCCATATTCTGAAGACTACATTCTAAGGACACTGTACTGGGATGGCGGCCAGGATCCTCCGAAGACTCGCCGCTTCTTTTGCAGGCGCAATACCCTTGGGAGGCAATATTCACTTCGCGCATACCTCGCACTTACGTCCCTCGTATTCGCACATCCCTGCGTTGGTTCCCCTCCTGACAATCGCCTTATTTCTCCTGGAATAATTAGAAAGGTCAGCCATATAAGCGAATAAATGATTCCAAAAAAATGAAAATGCGGTGAAGTAGACAATAAAATATGCAGCATCACAAAAAAGCGCTTCCGATCGTGGCAATCAAATATGTGGTAGGTGAGGATACGGTAGAAGCTGATCATGTTTTCTTGAGGGTGAGTTTTCGGATTTACACCTATTTTTGAAAATATACAGCTTCGAAGGATGGTTTGAAGTCATTATTTTTTCGCATCTTAGCTGGTCATGTAGACAGCAAACACTTTCCTAGAGCATTGACACTTCCTAATGGGCACGTTATTTAACAAAATCAAAATCGGAAATTCTACCATTCAAATTTTTTGTTTAACTGCTTTCTTATTGCTATGTTTGTTCACATTTTTCTCTTGTCCACATTTCCTCGAAAAAAAAAAGGATTGCAAATATTTTCATCTGTATTCTTTCACTGAAAGTCTCCCTAATTTTCAAAAAGACATTGTATCATAGATTGATAAAATACTCAGTTAGCGTTCAGTGCCCCTGTACGCGCCTACCACATATTTAATTGCCACGATCGGAAGCGCTTTTTTGTCATGCTGCATATTTTATTGTCTATTTCACCGCATTTTTATTTTTTGTAATCATTTACTCGTCGCTTATTTGGCTGACCTTTCTTGTTATGCCAAGAAAAGGCGGTTGTCCGGAGGGGAACCAACGCAGGAATGTGCGAGGTAGCTGAGAGAGAGGCGCGACGTAATAATTGCCTCCGAAAGGCGCGCCTGGAGAGGAACCGGCAGGGCTTTGGAGGATCCTTGACACGCCGCCGCCCTACTTGCATACATCTGAATTCTTATAGTTATTCGTTGGTTCCTTTGGGGGTCCAAAGGTGCGGGCTTGCCGAAGTTGCTGGGGCTGTCGCTTAGGCTGCGTTCATACTGATCTGAAAGTTTGGGAACAGTACCAGCACAACGCTCGAACTGAGCGATGTGCTGAAACTGTTCCCGAACTCCTACAACGACCGGCAACGCCGGCAGCCTCCAACGCTGGCAACCCCAGCAACCTCGGCAACCGTTGCCGAGGTTGCTGGGGCAACTTACGGCCGTTCCCTTAGAGAGCGAATAGTAGCAGAACTATGGGGTCCTACAACGGCCGGCAACCCGGCAACAGTAGCCGGCATCCTATGGCCGTTAGCATTTTGTTGAGCAGCAGGCGTGGGCTTACAGGCGTATGCATGAGCATCCGTGCTAGGGAGAAGGGCACCACTGGGAAGAAAGCTAGGGCCCGTATGCACGTACATCCCCGCGGGGAGGGGAGGGGATCTGAGAGGGGAAGCGTCATATCTCGCTAGTCTACGTGTCTTTCTTCTTCTTTCTCTGCCTTGGTTTTGTTCTCATACACTGATACTTGCGCATAACGGATGCCAGGTTACTGCCATACAAGATTAGATATTCACTATTTCGTCTGATCCCCTGGGAATCCCCAGAGGATCATCTCACATTTTCAAAGTCATTTATCTTCCTGAAAGATCAATGAAAACGCTGCAAAAATACTGTGGATATACTACAGCACTGCTAAACATGTTTATGGTGGAAATGAGTGAAATCTCAAGATATCAAAATCTTTGATGAACCGCTGCTCGCGAGCCAGGGATTATCGAAAAAATCAAAATCTTCAGATTCCATTTGTTCTGTCGGGAACATGCTCAGCAGTATCGTAATATATCTTCAGTACAAGTTTGCAGTGTTTTGATTGATTTTTCAGGAAGATTAAAGACTTTAAAAATGTGAGTTGATCCCCTGGGTATCCCCAGGGGATCGGAAGAAATAGCGAATATTCTTGCATAGCAGTAACCTGGCATCCATTATGCGCAGGTATAAGGGTATGCAAAATAGAGAAGAAGGAAGAAAGATATCTAGAGCAGCGAGATATGGCGCTTCCCCTCTCAGATTCCCTCCCCTCCCCGCGGGGATGTACGTGCATACAGGCCTAGAAGTCTCGACCTCACGCTGCTTATTTACCCTATACTTGAATCTGCGGCGACCGAGAGGAGGGGCGCATCAAGAATGGGTGCGAGATCTACTTAAATTTACTCAAATTAGTTGTGAAAATGTGAAATTGACTCGTTTATACTTGTAGAGTGTACTGCCAAATAAGCAGCATGTTTCATTTTGCGCAGGGTCCCGCGTCTCTAACCTACTAACCGATTTTTCTTCAAGTCATCCTCTATAAATGCAATAAAAGAATCAAGGGGTCGTGCTAGTCCTGTGATCAACACTGTTGAGCATGTTCGTGAGAAGAATAAGTGATATGTTGAAATTTTCCTTTTGATAAACCGCGGATTTTGCCCAGCGGTTCATCAAGAACTTATTACTTTGATATTTCACTTCTCTATGCAAGAACATGCTTAGCATTGTTGTGTAAAACAAACTAGCATTTATAATGATCTTCCAGAAAGATAAATGTCTTCGAAAAGAGGCGGGAAACCGCTAGATTACCGATGGATCATGCAAGAGATTGAAATGCAGTTATACAACTCTACTTTAGCCGGCTTCCTCCGCGGATTTTCTATATTGCGCAAGCCGCAATGATCATGAGAAAGCGATGCATACCATTGATGGATCATAACGAGCTGACTTGAAATTTCTTTAGCTGCAAAAATCACTGCATTTCGGCTCTGACGAGGGCGAGGGCGCCGAAACGTCAGCCATCAACAGAGAGATCTACCATCTTGGTCGTTCAAAGAGAAAATCCATGACTTGAAATTTGCCTGCCATATTTGCTGAATGATTCTCTACAAAAACCTGTGAACTTGGGTTTTGATTTCAAAAAAAAAGGGGAATATTCCAGTATCCGGCTCCAAAAATTTTTTGTCGTGGATTTAGCTGAAAGTTGGCTTAGAGGGGTTATTCGGTCCGCTGATGCCGAATATCGCGTTGCTTTTGTATAATAGCGTCATTTCTAAGGTTACGGTGGATGTACGGTAAGGGATCAAAATCACCGAATTCGCCGAAACTTGGCCTAGGGGGGTTACTTGACATGCTGTCATGCTCGACTTGCATTTTGGGCATTTCTGTGGCGTTACGGCAGGTATATGGTAGGGAGTCAGAACCATATACCTACTTGAAAATGTGGGCAGGGGGCTATCTGGCTTGCTGATCACGAGTATCGTGCTCATTCCGCGTGGTAAAGCCTTTGCGTGGAATTCCGTAATCTAGATTGGCCCGAAAGGCGGAAAAATTTCTAATTCTTAGGCTGCAAGTTACCGTAACTCACAACAAGGCGTTATTGCAGCGAGCAAGCATGATATTCGTAAACAGCATGCTTAAAAACCCTTCTAGGCAAAGACATAAGCAAATTCGGAACTTCGACTTATCTACCGTATACACACCGTTACCGGGGAGGGGAACGAAAGCCGCCAGCTTCGGTCGCCTACGCGGCCTGGTGGTCCTGGAACGACATGCAGCAACGTTGCGAAAGACCAGTTAGCCGCGAAAGGCGGCTCAAACTGGCGGCTTTCGTTCCTCTACCCACCGTTACCCAGAAAATTGGCGCTTTTTTGAAAAAAAAACAGCATGCTCAGAAACCCTTCTAGGCAAAGACTTGAGCAAATTCGGAACTTCGACTTATCTACTGTATAAACAGCGTTACCCAGAAAATTGGCGCTTTTTTGAAAAAAAAAAAACAGCATGATCCAAGTTCAGAGGGCTCAATAACCTCCCTAAGCGAGATTCGGAGCAAATTCGTGGTTTCGCCCTCATACCGTATACCTACCGTACTCCATGAAAAGGCCGCAGAATGCAGAAAAAATTTGATCTTCGTAATCAGCATGTCGGAAAACCCCCCATCGTATACTTACCATAGCCCCACCGAATGACATTTTTGTGCGGAAAGAGTGTGATATTCGTGACCAGCATATCGAATAACCCCCTAGGCCAACATTCAGCAGAATCGGTGATTTTGAGCTCCTACCGTACACCCACCATAACCTCAGAAAATGACGCTATCATACAAAAGCAATGCGATATTCGGCATCAGCGGGTCGGATAACCCCTCTACGCCAAGTTTCGGCTAAATCCGCGACAAAAAAATTTTGGTGCCCGGATATTGGAATAGTTCCAAAAAACGTGCTTCAGTGTTCAGCTTGACAGCGCACATAAATGCTTCTATAGTCGTTTTCAATACGTATTGGTCTTTCCTACCGTATGCCTTCCGCCTCAACATGACGTGGATTGATGAGGCGCCGCCTCACTTCGGGCCTTCGCCACGTAACGGACTCTCATTTAGATGGCGTGGCGAGAAAAGTAACGTGGCGCAAGCCCGAAGGCGATGCTTCACCAATCTACGTCATGTTGAGGCTCGAAGGCATACTGTAGAAAAGACCAATACGTATTGAAAAAAAAAGACTGTATGGACGATCAAAGCATGGCCACATTCGTCAAAATACAACGAGGGTTTTTGAATCGTTATTTGGTGAGATATTCCACTAACAAAGGAATGGTCAGAAGTCGAAGTGGCCAATCCATACAAGCTGTATGCCATTCGATGCAGCATAAAATGCTGATTTGAAATCTGTCTTCCATATCTGCAGAGTGCCTTTGTAGGTGACGTTATGAGCAGCTTTACTGCGAAAAAGCCGTGTACAAAAATTGCGAAATTAGGCACATTATTTCTTTTTTAGTTCATCTTTAGGTACTGGCCATATAAAGTGACTAGTCGCATGTTTTGCTCTAGCACTGAGCAGCGA